GAAGGGGGGGAGGGAGGAAGGAGGAGGGAGGGGGAAGGAAGGGAGGGAGGAAGAAGGAGGGGGGAAGGAAGGGAGGGAGGGATGGAGGGAGAAAAGAAGGAAGGAAGGAAGGGAGGGAGGGGGAAGGAAGGGAAGGATGGAGGGAAGAAAGGAAAGGAGGAAAAAGGCTGTAATTAAGTCATCTACCACCATCACCCTGCTGAACTTAAAGTTTATTTAAAACTTATAAATTACATCCTTTCAGGACTGTCACTTAGAAAGCCAGGGGACCTTACAGACAGCCATTGTAGACATCTACATGGGACTTTCTCCCTTGAGAATCCAGTGTTCAGTAGGCATGCCTGTGTACACTGCGGTCTAATAGTCACGGCCACGGTCGTTCAGCCAAGGTCAGACTCTGCCTGTAGGCTCTGTGACAAACACACTTGAATCTGTCATCTCCTCTCCCCTTCTTGGATGCATGGGAAGACTGTATTTTATAGTTCTTTTATAGTTCTGTATTTTATAGTCCCTTGCAGTTGGACTGGGGACAACGGGAAGTGAGAAGGAAGTGCCACTTGTCACCACAGCCACACAGAATGGAAGCCAGTCGGCGAACACACAGGATGGAGGCCGTGTGGCTTCCACGGAACTATGTCAACCAGAAACACAGTTTTTACTCCCTCTCTCTCTTTAAATAAATATTTATTTTACACCCGGGCTGCAGTTTCCCCTCTCTCCTCTCCTCCCAACACTCCCTCTGCACTGCCTACCCCGTCCACTCCTCCTTCATTTCTGTTTAGAAAGGATAGGTCTCCCATGGATGTCAAGGAAACATGGCATATCAAGTTGCAGTAAGACTAAGCACCTCCTCATTAAGGCTGCTGGATAAGGTGACCCAGTATGAGGAGTAGGGTCACAAAAGAGCTGAAGAAGCCCTGTCCCCACTGTCAGGAGTCCCATAAGAGGATCAAGCCACACAACTGTCACAGCTATGTAGAGGGCCTAGGTCAGTCCCATGCAGGCTCCCTGGTTGTCGGTTCAGCCTCTGTGAGCTCCTAGGAGCCCAGGTTAGTTGATTCTGTGAGTTTTCTTCTGGTGTCCTTGACCCCTCTGGCTCCTACAGTCCTTCCTCCCCTTCTGCAGGATTCCCTGAACTCATTCTAAAGTCTGGCTGTGGGTCTGCTTCTGTTTCCAGATGAAGCCTCTCTGATGACAATAGGGCTGAGCACCGATCTGGTCACAGGAGATGGCCACTTTAGGCTACGTATCTGTTATTGTTAGGAGTCTTAGCTGGGGTCTTCCTTGTAGATTTCTGGGAGACTGCTTTGCACCAGGTTTTTCCCTGATCCAGAAATGTTCCCCCTTTCCAGGAGTCTCTTTCAGGACTCTCCCCTCTGCCCTACCCAACCTGATCGCTCATGTTTTCATCCCCGCCTACTCTCAGTCCACTAACAAAATCTCCTCTATTTCCCCTGCCCAGGGAGATCTGGGCGTCCTTCCGTGAATCCTCCATGTTGCCTCATCTCGCTGGGCATGTAAATGATAGCACAGTTATCCCTTGTTTTACAGCTAACATCCACTAGGAGTGAGTACATACCATGTGTGTTTTTTTGGATCCAAGTTACCTCATCCAGATGATGATTTTCTACTTCTATCCCTCAGCCTTCAGATTTCCTGGTGCCCTTGTTTTTACCGCTAAGTAGTACTCCACTGTGTAAATGTACCACATTTTCTTTGTCCATTCCTCAGCTGAGGGACATCTCAGTTGTTTCCAGGTCCTGGCTATTACAAATAAACGAGCATAATTGAGCAAGTGTCCTTGTGGTATGACTGAGCATCCTTTGGGTGTATGCCCAAGAGTGGAATAGCTGAGTCTTGTGGTAGATTGATTCCCAGTTTTCTGAGAAACCACAACGCTGTCTTTCAAAGTGGCTGTACAGGTTTGAACTCGCACCAGCAATGGAGGAGTGTTCTCCTGGCTCCTTATCCTCTCCAGCATGAACTGTCATTTGTAGTTTTCATCTTAGAATTCTGACAGGTGTAAGATGGAATCTCAGAATCGTTTTGATTTGTAGTTCCTTGACCGTCTCCCTAAGTATTTCTTGGTGATTTGAGATTTTTCCGTTGAGAATTTTCTGTTTAGATCTGTACCCCATTTTTTAAATTGGATTATTTGGTTTGTTGATATCTAGTTTCTCGAGTTCTTTATATATTTTGGAAATCAGCCCTCCGTTGGGTGTGGGTTGGTGAAGATCTTTTCCCATTCTGTAGGCTGCTGTTTTGTCTTATTGATGGTGTCCTTTGACTTGCAGAAACTTTGAGGTTTCATGAGGTCCCACTTAATAATTATTGATCTTAGTGCCTGTGCCATTGGTGTTCTGTTCAGGAAGTTGTCTCCCGTGTCAATGCATTAAAGACTATTTCTCTCTTCTATCAGATTCAGTGTGTTTGGATTTATGTTGAGGTCTTTGATCCACTTGGACTTGAGTTTTTTGCAGGATAATGGATATGGATCTATTTCCAGTCTTCTACATGCCAACACCCAGTTAAACCAGCACTATTTGTTGAAGATACTTTCTTTTTTCCCATTGTATAATTTTAGCTTCTTTGTCAAAAGTCAGATGTCCATAGGTGTGTGGATTTACATCTGGGTCTTCGATTTGATTCCATTGATCCGCCTGTCTGTTTTATACCAATGCCATGTGGTTTTTATTACTGTAGCTCAGTAGTAGAGTTTAACATCAGGAATGGTGATTCCTCCGGAAGTTCTTTTATTGTACAGGATTGTTTTAGCTATCCTGGGCTTTTGTTTTTCTATAGGAAGCTGAATATTGTTCTTCTAAGGTCTGTAAAGAATTGTATTGGATTTTAATAAGAATTGCATTGAATTTATAGATTGCTTTTGGTAAGATGGCCATTTTTACTATGTTAATCCTACTGATAAATAAGGATTGGAAATCTTTCCATTTTCTGAGATCTCTAATTTCTTTAAAGAATTGTTCTCTTTTACTTGCTTGGTTAGAGTTATACCAAGACGTTTTATATTATTTGAGGCTATTGTAAAGGGTGTTGATTCTTAGCTGGTTTATTGTTTGAATATAAGGGGGCTACTTTTTTTTTTTAGTTCATCTTGTATCTAGCCACTTGTCTAAAGGTATTTATCAGCTGTAGGAGTTTCCTGGTAGAGTTTTGGGGGTTGCTTATGTATACCATCATATAATCTGCAAATAATGATATTTGACTTCTTCCTTTCCAATTTGTAGCCCCTTGATTTCTGTTAGTTGTTTTATTGCTCTATCTAGAACTGCAAGCACTATATTGAATAGGTATGGAGGGAGTGGACAGCCTTGTCTTGTTCCTGATTTTAGTGGATTTGCCTTGAGTTTCTTTCCATTTATTTTGATGTTGGCTATCAGCTTGCTGTACATTGCTTTTAGTATGCTCAAGCGTGTCCTTTATATCCCTGATCTCTCCAAGATTTTTATCATGAGGGAGTGTTGGATTTTGTCAAAGGCATTTCTAGAATCTAATGAGATGATCTTGTGGATTTTTTTTCTTTCAGTTAGTTTATATGGTGGATTACATTGACATATTTTTGTGTGTTGAACCACTCCTGAATTTCTGGGATGAAGCCTACTTGGTCATGGTGGATAATCTTTTTGATGTGTTCTTGGATCCAGTTTGTTGGTATTTTATTGATTATTTTTGCATCAATGTTCATGAGTGAAATTGGTCTGTGATTTTCTTTCTTTGTTGAGTCTTTGTGTAGTTTGGATATCAGGGTGATTGTGGCCTCATAGAAAGAATTTGGAAATATTTTTTATGTTTCTATTTTGTGGAAAAATTTGAGGAGTGTTGGTATTAACTCCTCTTTAAAAGTCTGGTAGAATTTTGTGCTAAAACCATCTGGCCCTGTTTTGTATTTTTTTTTTGAGACTTTTGACTGCTTCTATTTCCTTAGTGATTATTGGTCTAAT